TCTTTACAATCTGTTTCCTTAACCCATATTACATGTAAAATAATACACGGCTAGTGTTTTGTTGGTTTGTTTGTGTGGTTGGTGATGAGACCATAGACGTGGAGCAGGGGAGATGCTACTGTGGAGCAGTTGGTGCAGCTACAACGGGGGCTTTGAATGCCCTGGATATTAAGGGATTTTACTTTCTTTCTTTTTTTTATTATTTGTATTATATAGTAGTAAAAATTTGGTGATTACAATGTCTCAAAGAACATATGCCAATAAAATGATTGATATCGACAATATTAGGGCCATTTTCGATATTCAATATATATATATATACATGATAGTGAACAGAAAAGAAAAAGAACCCTAATTTTCTTATGCATTCAATGCCCCACTTGCAACACATTTAAACCAATTTGAAAACCATAGGAATAGTGAGGGTAAGGTAGGGCAGGGCAGTGTCCCTTTGCACTAATTGAATTGTCCTTTTATATGAAAGACACTCCTAGTTAAGATCCCTCCATGTGCCATTCACAAAAACAGCAGATGACTAGAAATTTTGATAAACTAAAATCCAATATTAAAAATTTGAAGACATAAAAAGGATTTGGTCCTAAGGCTAGGTAGTTAGCTTACAAGATTTTACATTCATTGTCTAAACATCTGGTTCAAAGAACCGAGAAGATACACACTTCTTAACATGTTACATATCGATAAAATGTTAGAAGTTACCCTAAATATTTTAAATTATCATATATTTTATATTTTTTTATATTTTTATTGATAATTTATTTTTCTCTTTCTTTATAATTTTATAAATTAACCCCTTTAAAATTTTTAAAAATTCGCTTCTAGCATAAAATAATCATTTGTCTTATATATAACTCTGACTCTTTTTTAGAGTATTCATGTCAAGCGTACATTGGTAAATGATAATGGGACATGATAGTATAATAAACTTTTCGGTATATAAAAAACTTGCAAAATTAAATAGGCATAATTCCAAAATTAGCCCCCAACATTTGTTAAAATAGTCATATTGCCCCCTATTCTAACTTTTGGATTATTTTGTCCGTTAACGTTTCATTTTGGAGCAAAAAGGCTCCTAACACTTTACAAAATAATTATTTTGTCCCTTATTTTTTTCTAGGCCATTTTAGCCTTCAATGTTTCATTTTAGTATAAAAAAGAATCATATTTTGAAGCATTAATCTTGTGTTATCTAAAAAAATTATCTATAGAGGAAGTTTTTTGCCTCAAAGTGAAACGTTGGGGGCCAAAATGCTCCAAAAAATAAGAATATGGGAAAAATGATCATTTAGTAAATGTTGGGGGCTATTTTTGGTATTATACCAATTAAAAATTCCCGTGTGTTTGAGAAAAACATGATATATGTGTGTGTGTGAGAGAGAAAGATGATTTACTATGTTAGTATTATTGATTTAATATTATGCCACAGCTGGTTCAAATTATGGTGCAGAAGAAGCAATGAAATTTGGATTTCATCTTAGAAAGACAAGTGATAGTCCAGTGTTTATGTGGTCCAAACTTCAAGCAATCAATAAAAGAGTAAATTGTACAAATTAGAAGTTGTAGGACCACCAAATGATAATTTCAAATCAACAAAAGTACAAAAATGAGAAGAAAAACAGAATAATTAATATTGAAATATTATTAAAGCAGACGAATAAAATTTGTCAACAATACCGGATAAGGCAGGAGAGAACTGCACTAAATGAATAAAATTTCATGTAGGCTATATGCATGCTTTTGTTGCACCATGTGAGTAACAATCAGTATGGGGATAAATTACGTATTTCAAATAAGAAGCAAAGAATACAATATAATATATATATACCTTATTACTTAAGCTTTTAATTAAGTTGGTATTATCATTAACATGAATAAAGTTACCTTAGTAGTTAAAGGAATGATTGTTATTTCTAGAGATCTCAGGTTCGAGCACTAGAGATTGCAAGATATTTGAGCGTACATTACCAAATGATTGAGAGTATTTAGAACATATATTATCACTTATAAGCACCCTAGTTTAATAATAATAATAATAATAATAAGTTGATATTACCTTTACCAATTAATTAACATTCATTTTTTTAATTTCAAATAGAAACCCAAATTCCATAGGTTTCCATTATCAGATTTTCTTATACGTATGATCCAAAGTTCTACTTTTATAGAATTCATCAAGTGACCTCAGTACTTAAAGGAAATGTTATTTTCTCTTGGGTTCGAGCAGCTGAGTCTATAGAGTGTGTATTTATTAATATATTAAAAAAATCTAAACAAATAATATCTTAGAATTAATCCAAATTATTTATAATAAAAATCTTGCCTTTATAATAAGGGAAGATGAACAAAAACCCTACCAAAATATTGAAGCTTTTACAAAATTTGAGGCATGGGGGAGTAAATATGTTTGGGTGGTGGGGTCTTTATATCACCATGATAAAAAAATAAAATAAAAGGTGCACTATGCATGTGGTCCATTTATGCTAACAATAGGGTGGACAAGATCTAGCACCATAGCATCATGATGATCTAGAGATGTCAATTAAGAAACCCCTCATATGCTTATATCATAATTTATGGAGAAATTATAGCCGTTAACATTGTCGCTCACCCCTCATATATATATATATATATAAATCAATTCCATTACATGTCCTCAAATTATTATTCTTATTTTGAATTAGTTCATAAACTTTTAAACACTTCAATTTCATCCCCAACCTATGACTTTCATTCTAAATAAATCCCCAAACTTTTTGAATATTTCAATTTCATCTTAAATTATATATTAATTACATCTCTTGTTAATAAAATCGTTAGCCATGTTATATTATTATACGTTTTAAAAAATAAACTATGGTTGAAACTAATTATATATTTGGATGAATTTGGGATGAAATTAGAATATTCAAAAGTTTGGGGGATAAATTTAAAATAAGGATCATAGCTTGGGGATGCAATTGAAGTATTTAAAAGTGTAAGAATCAGTTTAAAACGAGGATCATAATTTGCAGACATATGATGCAATTATTGATATATATATATGATATTGCGACATAATGTAAAACTCTTTTAATTTTATATAGATTTGTGATTGTTAGATGATTGAAAATAGATGTATGAGATTAATAGTAGGAAATGAAAATATATTTACTGGGATAAACAAGGAGTTAATCTCAGTCATTATTTTCACTTATTTAACGATCTTATATTTATGAAAAACAAAAAATTTACATAATCTGAGTGGATCTTAATTATAAACAAGAAAGTAATAACATTTATTATAGTACGAATACGGGGATATTATCAGCTCTAAAGACTATGGTTAGAGGAATCTTGTCATTTGGCCTTAGAATACTTTTACATGCACAAAAATCATCACAATGGAAACAGATCAAAGTAGTGATCTTACTTTTTCTAGTTAGGAACTAACTAGGTAGTGATAAGACTGGGAGAAAACAGCAGCAAATAAAACTGACAGAAGAAAAGCTAAAACATAATATATATATATTGTTGGATCCGAAATAAAAAAATAAAATTCTAAGTGACACGGATTAAATTAACATATATTCCTATGATCGTAAATAAATAAATTTATAAAATGAAAATGTATATCCCTTGAAACATGAATGGACCACAAACCTTCATTAAAATAAGCAAATGACAAGTAAAATTATTGTTTCCAACCCACCAAGTTGTTGGGAATTTGTAAGAATGGATAGCTGACCCTCTCAAGTAAAAACTTTTTCCATTAATAATATATATTTTTTTATGATTAATGTTCCAGGTCTAAAATTGTTTCTATTAATAATAATGTCTAGAGGTGGTAGTTGGATCATTCGGACCGAGTTTGAATCGATTTATTTTGAATCATATCATTTTAGGTCTAGACTATTTTGTTAGATTTGGTTCAGATCGGATCAGATCTGGTTCAGATTCAGTTCGGATATACGAAAATTCAATTTAGGTCAGGTATCGGGTCGGATCAAAATCAAATCAGTTAGTTTTCGGATCGAGTTAATATTGGATCGATTGACTTCGAGTCGGGTTAATATCGGTTCGGTTAGTTTTGGTTGAGGTCAACCATTAGATTTTCGGGTTGCTCTTCGTCTTCATAACTTTTGGTGACGCTCTTTATTACTTATAATTCAAGAATTTTATGTGAATATATATTGTCACATCCTAAATTTAGAACTAGAAGTTTTAGTCTTAATCAATATAATCAATAAATCTTTAAATCAAGTGTTTTATGTGAATATATAGTCACGGTCCATATTCAGAGCTAGAAGTTATTTTATCAGATATAAAAGATGGGTTTATAACTTAGGAAAAATTATGTTGAACCAAACTATTACTTGAAGTGATGATTAACTAGTTGTATAATATAAAATAGAATAAAACATACATCATTTTACTATTTATCAATGCTAAAAATAGATAATAATAAATAAATAAATAAATAAATAAATTATCCATTCACTTATACTCAATTATCAGGTTAAAATTGGGTTAAATTTCGATTCAACTTATTTATGGGTAAACTAAATTTGTTTTTATTTTGTTCATGTTACTTTCAGTTTGGATTGCTTTTTGTTCGGGTTAATTTCAATTCGGGTTGTTTTCGGTCCAAATAAAATTCAAGTCTCTTTCAATTCTATTCAGATTATTTCATGTTTCAGATTAATTTTAGGTTATCTTTTCCGGGTCTATATCATATCTCGGATCGGATAAATTGGTTCGGATAATCGGTACAAATCAAATTTGTGAGATCTAATATTATTGCTCTAATATTCTAATTTTAAACATATTTTTACTGAACGTGTACTATATCTTACCGTACTGCACTCAGCCCTGGTTATTTATATATTGTTTGGTAAATTAACATTTCCCAATTTATATAATTAAAACCCAAAATAAAAGACGATATTTTTATATTTAAGGCCTCTCCCCCTCCCAAACCACTTTCTAATGAGAAATAAAAAAGAAGAGCGTCTGAGCGAAGAGAAGGTAGCAGCTAGAGGAGGCATCCAAAGGGATCGCATTGATCCTTTATTATCCACAATTTTGGATCATGCCATCCCTTTGAATTTCTCCTTTGGTAGCTAAATATATTATTCCTCAAAATAAAATAAATAAAATCTGGAGATTCGACGGCTAACTCCAAATCAAGTAAGTTTGAGTTTTGCTTTTTACTGTATTTCATATATGTATTGTTGGGTACTCATGTGTTTAGACATCTTCTGCATGAGTTTTTACTTGGGTTTTGTAGGGTTTTCATTATGTGATAGAAAGGTAATAGTTTATCTTATATCAAATTTACACACACACACACACACATATATATATATATATATTGTTAGACAAATTGATTTTATTTGATATTATAAACATCTAAAAGCAAATTATGTACCTCGATAAAAACATGCCTAATCTTAATTGAAGGAAAAGAATACACACAATCAAAATTTTAAAACATATTAATGTTAATGAAGCCTTCATTTTAATAGAAGTCTTTTGCTATTGTACCAATACAATTGACAAGTTATAATAATTTTTCTTCAGAAAATATCCCTTATTTATTATAATTTTTCTTTCAATTCAGAAAGCCAGTTTTGTTCATAACAAATTCCTTATTGACAAGTTTTGTTCATAAAAAAATAATATAAAATTGAAGAATTAAATCCCATGATTCAAACATGAAATCCTAGATTGATGAACACTTTTAAATCTGATTTTCATAAAACTTAAAGCTCGATCCCTTGATAGTGGAGATTGGTCCCCATGAAAATTGTAGGATGTTATCCCATATTTGTATTTATTATTTTAGCAGCATGGAAGTGAAATAATGATAATGTGACCTAATAAACTTTCCACGCCTTGATTTTTAACAGTTGAATATTTTTAGCTCTGATTTTATTAAGTTAAATTTATATTAGATAAAAACGTTTTTAAAATATTTTTTATTTATTTTTTAATATAATAATTTTTAAATATATATCTTGAAAACATAACCAATTAAAATTAATATCACAAAAGTTAAAAGTTCAAGAATTTTGAAAAAAAAATAATGTGATAAGTTAACTGGAATATAATATAAAAATTATTGTTTTTAATTTCTATTTAAATTAAATTAAATAAGCCTTTAATTTGCTGGATTTTTTGAACTGGTAAATATGGGAAAATTTGAATAAACATGAATATGGAATTTGTTTGTGTTTGTTTGAAGTAATTATATTTCCTTGAATTTTATTTATTAATCTGAGGTTAGTACAGTAGAACTTCAGGATATGTATTGAGTTTATGACTGAACTTTAAAATGTTTCAATTATAGTATTAAATCTTGATTTTGGTTTAAATATAATATCCTATTTTCCCGTGAACTTTAGCTTTTGTATCGATTTTTTCACTAAATATTAAAATATTTTATTTTACAGATTAGTATTTAGTTTTTGTATCATTTTGGTCCTTACAGGCAATTGTTGAAGACTTTGACTGTCGTTGTTGATCAATCAATGACCACCATTGGTTGCTATTGGTACTTGAACGTTCGCATTCTACCTCCTTTTTCTTCTTGTTAGATTAGTTTTTTCATGAAACTCACTAAAAATCAAGGAATATTTTCCTAAAGGCTTGATATTATAATACTTTCATCTCCTCTATTAGTCATTGGATGAATCTAGTTTTGAGGTATATTGTTTGTCTTCTTGAAAGAATGCTTTGTAATGTTTAGATTTTTGAACAAATAATTCAAATCATTCAAATATTAGAAAACCCTCAAACCTTGAAAATGATGGATTTTTTTAATTCTATGAATTTTAAATAGATATTAAAAAAATATAAGCAAAACAATGGTAGAAGACAATGAGACAAGTTCATCGATGTCTAGGGTGATCATAAAAGATGATGGAGAGTGATAGTTTTTGATTATGACTAAAGATAAATGAAAAAAACTCCAAATTTGATGAAGAATATAATAAGGTGGAATAAAAAAATATTTTTGTATATTCCACACTAGCACGTGTTAACACCAAACAGTTCTATCATTTTATCGTTAATGAGTTGACGACCTAGTGTTATAATTGAATCATAGCTAAAACTCAATGATACAATTTACTCTAAATTAATGTTCGATGATAAAATTTATATCAAACCTAATGTTTAGTAATATTTTATACAAATAAACTTTAAATATTTTTTTTTGAAATAGTGACTAGTTATTTTTTAAAGATTTGAATGAATAAAAACTTACCCATATAATAAGTTTCTCTAAGTTTAATTATGAAGAACGTTAGAGTTTGACCTAAACTATGGAGTATGAAATCTATTTTTATTGAAATTAATAAGCCTATTCTACTATATGTTGATTTAGAGTAAGAAACATAATTTGAGTAGATTTTTTGTTATACAAGTTTTCTTTGTAATCAAGTAACTATCCTTATAAATATATACTACATATTAATGTTAGATGTTAATTTTTTCATGAGAGATTTCTCTTGTACTCTTCTATTTTTGATATTAGTGAAAATTCTCCTATTCTACTAGTGATTTTCCCGAAAGAGTTTTTCGCATAAACTCTTAGTGTTTATTTTATTGTTCGATTGCCATGTTTGACATTATCTTTTAACACATTGGTACCAAAGCATCTTTTAAACATACTTTGATATTTTGATATACCAAAAGTAATTAATAAATTTAATAATTTTTAAGATTATATTCAATTTGAATATATATAAATTTTTTGTAAGATCAAAAACTTAATCTTTCTCATTGTTTACTTGAAATATTTTGTCAAATTTTGAAAATAATTTTAAAACAAAATTTTCTAAGGGTTTCAAACATTAATCAAGTCAAAAATTATTTTACAACACTATAGTACTGATACTATAAGAACAATACCAAATTGTTCCTATGGTATCGATTTAGTATTGATGTTATAGCTTTAAAATCACCAAGTAGTACCGATATTACCTATTGCTTTGACAAAACAATATACAAAAATGGTACTGAAACTCCATATAGTATTGATACTCAATATAGTATCGATATTCCACATGGTAGTACCGATACTTCTCTTATGTTTTGAAATTTAACATATTCCAATATACAAAAAACGAAACTGATACTATCAGTAGTATTGATAGTACTTATAATTGTAGTATTGATACTGCAGAGAATAGTATTGAAACTCCTCTTGCCAATGACTATATTTTTGTATATAATGCACGTAGTATCAATACTTAAGGTTATAGTACCAATACTCTTGGCATATAGGAATCATTTATTATGGGAAACTTCATCCCCAACAACTCTATTAACTCTTATAACTACCCAAACGACTAGAATTGAATGAATATGTATAAAAAACAATATCCTAAGCATCATATAAAGACAAAATTAAAAGAATAGAAAGTCAAAGCATTCAAGTTGAGCCAAATTCTAAGTCAACTTGTACTTGCATTCTTATTTCTTTCATATGACACTTTTGTACTCTTTGTATTATTCACTCGAGTGTTCTATTTGTTTTGAATGGAACAAACACATTCCTTGGAAGAGTTTCTAAAAGTTTGTTATTTTTTATCTCTTACTAGAAGTGTTGCGCACTTAAGACTTTGGGGTACAAGTCTTAGTGTGTTGTAAGATTACACCTTGTCCTAAAAGGTTTGAAAAAATTAGTGAATTTGTTGAAATCCTTAGTGTGGAAGCTAAGGTAATGAGTGTATACTTCATTGAAGAAGTTGACATGCTCTAAAATTCCTTGTGTCAGTTTTCCTTATTCTTGTAAAAAGCTTTCATCAAATTTTTAATTGTAAATTCACCCCCTCTTGCATATTTGTTTGGATCGATTGACTCAAAAAATAGTATCCGAGCTTAACTCATTGGAAGGTTTAACCACCTCTTCAGAATATCCTTTGAAGAATTCAATCTTATTATTATCTATGACCACTTCATCTACTTCCATAATTTATGATGAGTCTCAATACATTTTCAAGCCTTCTTATTTCAATGGTACAAACTATTCATATTAGAAGAATAAGATTATGTTATTTATTCAAGATATAATTATTTGGTTTGAGATGTCATCGTCGATGGACCATCCATTCCTTCAAAAGTACAAGGATAACTTATTGTACCAAAGAACAAGTCGTAATGGACCGGTGAAGATCGAAGACTTGTTCAACTCAAGGCCAAGCATTCTCTTTTGTTCACTTGGCCTCGATGAATATAATATAGTGTCTTCATGCTTAAATGAGAAATAGATTTGAGATAATCTTGAAGTCACACATGAAGGTACAAGCCAAGTGAAGAATCTAATATTGATATTCTCACACTCAACTATGAGAATTTTAAAATAAAACTCGACGAAGACATCAAAGCCTTGTCTAATTGATTTGCCTCCATAATCAACAAGTTGAAGGGTTTTGGGAAATTCTACCCAAATGAATAAATAATGAAAAAATTCTTCATAACTTTCCAATATATTGGGAATCAAAGACGTTGACTACTGAAGAAGCCAAAGATTTAAAAGTTCTTACACTTGATGATCTCATTGGTTCTCTCCATACCAATGAGATAAGATTCAAGAAAGAAGAAGAGAAGAAAATGGAAAAGAAGAAGGTTGGAATTGCTCTCAAGTCTACAAAATAAGAGAGTGATTTAAGTGAGGAAGAAGCTTAAGAAATGACAATGTTTTCCAAAAGGTTTAGAAGATTCATTAAGTCTAACAAGGGAATAATATTTCAAAGAAATGAGGGCTTTAAGAAAGAAACCAAAGAGAACGAATACAAGAAATTGTGGCACATCAAATTTGAGTGTCAACTAAATAAAATGAGGTCTACCAAGAAGGCACAAAAGGCCCATGTAGCTACTTTGAGCAATGAAGAGTGCTTTGATAAAAAAGAACAAGAGGTATCCAACTTGTATCTTGTGGCCATTGAGGGATAAACTATGACAACCTCTTGGTCATCTAATTTAAATGAATATTCTTTTGATGAACTACAAGAGGCTTATGATGAGTTTGCCTTAGAATTTGAGATTGTTTTTAAAGCATAAGAAAAATATTTCGAAAATGAAATATATATTTTATCTAAGACCAACATTGAAATTGAAAGTAATATGAAAGATATGCAAGTCAAACTTGAAGAGTTTGAAAAGAAAAATCAAAATATCCATAACTTACTTTCAAAGATTCATGATGATCATTAGAAGGAACTTGGTGATCTCAAAGCTTGTTTTAATAAAGGTGGATCAAACTGTTTTTTAAAAGGTCAAACTTTAAAATCCAATTATGTTAAAAATAACATTAGATTATGAACATAGAAGTCCCAAAGAATCTCTAATGGGAAAGTTGTCAGGAGGATACGAGTCCCTAAAGGGCTTGTTGCTACTAAAGATAAGGATATCCTAGGAAAGTAGATAGCTAAGGAGACTAGATTATTGAAAATTAATACCTGACCCAAAAGAATTTGAGTACCAAAAATAAAATATTAATCAATATTTCTAGTCACTACAACAAATTTTCAATATGACGAAATTTCTAAATGAAGTTGCGTATAACGTCATAAAATATACTATAAACATGAAGTTTTTTATTTTCTTTTAGTGATTGGTGGTATATCTTCTATGACAATTTTAAAAAATGGTTATTGATGTTTGCCACTATATCTTTGGAGCAAAATTTTACCTCCAAAAAAATTAGTGGAGAACCTTTCAATGACGTTTGGACAAAAAGGTGACATTGTAAAATCGTCATTAATGAAATGGAAATATTAGTGACAATATAACTTGAATCAATGGCATTGTCAATTTGTCAATAAAAAGTTTTATTCGTGACAATTTAATTCATAATATTTTATAAGATATAAATGTTGACCAATGCTACAAAAAATATATTTAACATGACGAAAACAATTATTTGTCACTTATTGTTATATCTCTTATATTTTATATGATAGTTTTAAAAGATATTGAAAGATTGCATCAATTACTGTTTGACACCGAGAATAAACATAAAATAATTAGTGGGAAATGTTTTTTTGTGACATCTTGGATGCACCACTAATTCAATATCTTAGTGACGATGTTTTTATTAACACATTTTTGGATTTTAAGCTCATAATTTCAATATCTCTTACTTGTTTCTCATACTTATGCATTATGCTTTTATATATATTGTCGTAATTGTCCATCGGGTGGGCCCGAAATCGGGCTTTAACTTAAATAAAACGTGTTAAAGCTGCCACCAATCATTTAAAATTAGGTTGATTGGATACCTTAATTAACCATTTTAGCTGATCTGTGCTTTTCGAGAAATATATCAGATTTGGGATTCGATTACAGTCAAAGAAGGATTAGCACCCTTGTACTGCCCTTTCGGTATCAAATTAATTTCTCGATTGTCTTAATTGTGAAAATTAAAAGTTAAATTAAAATTTAAAATTCGATCTGAATCACTTAACTTTGATCGATTAAAATTGCCCCTAAAAAGTCAAAAAATGTTAGATTGTAAAATAAAAAATATTAATTAAATCAAAGAGAAGAAAAAAAGGTTAAATTAAGAAAATAAAAAAATAAAAAACTAAAAATGTTAGAAAGAGAAAATGAAAATGAAAAAAGTGTTAAATTTTAAAAGAAATACAAGAAACAAATAAAAATAAATAAAAATTTAAAGGATCAAATTGAAACGAATTAATATTTATGGATCAAAGTAATTCTAGAAATGAGCTGCAAGAGAAAAAACAAAAGGTTAGGGGACTAAATTGCAAAATATAAGAAATATAATCAGGATTAAATTGAAATAATTCAAAATTCAAGGGTCAATTTATAATATGTGACCAAAAAGAATTAAACATCAAAATTAGAGGGATGACAAAAATAATTTAAAAATATTGTAATTACACCAAGGTCCCCCTATAAATACCCCTAAAATCACAAAAATATCATTCAATCACATTTCTTAAAAAAAACAATATCTCTCTCTTCTAAACTCTCTCACCTCTCTCCTATACCCGCTCGAAAACCGGCCACCCTCCGGTGACCAACCATCGTCCGGACCACCGTCGACCGCCACTCCAGCCTCCACCCACGGTGGCTAGAGCACCCTATCCTTTTCATTCGAAAGCCATTGCCACCCCCGAGCCAATCTTACCGACTAGATCATCAAATAACTCCCCTCGGCGTAGATCTAAGCCGAAACTGTTCGGCTGCCTCACCTTTTTACTGACGGTGCCTTGAGTTCTGGTGGTCGTTCGTCTCCTAGTCTCTATTCTATCACAAAGCAAAGTATCCCTCTCGTTTTCTCAATTTTTTGTAGGTTTTTCCTGTTCGAAAATTGACCCTTTTAAATTATTCGATACAGGTATATATGGCCCCTCGCTGGGGGTTGTTTCCTTCATCCCCGATTTGCTTGGGTTCATTGTGTTCAGGTTGGCCGAATTTTAGGAAAATATTTATTCCCGATTTTGTTTTGATTTAATTGTGCTGCAAATTTTGGTGTTGATTGTTGCTTCGGTCAGTGTTTTGGGAAGTTTTCCCCTGAAATCGCGATTGAGAAAATTTGGGAATGATGTTTTGGTCAGCGCGTGGTCTTCACATGACGTCCATTTGCTTGCCGGTGGTATTGTGTATTCTAGAATGTTCTGGGGCTTCCCTGGTTGTTGACCTTGGGTCTCTTGTTTGTCCAGTTTAGTAGCCTGTTGGGTATTCAAGCTTTACTCTTTGCTTCCCGGTCTTGGCCTGCTGCGTCAGGCATGCCCTGACTTCGACCCTTACCTTCGTTGGATCGTGACTCCTTTTAGACTCAGACTCTTATTTGGCCTTAAAAATAAAAGGAAAATAAAAATACTAATAATAATATGTATATATTAAAAAACTATATAATATATATTATATTTCAAAAGCAATATAAGATGTTTTCAAAGATTATTTACATTATATATGTTTTCAAAAACCGTCTTTTAAAAACTATATTATATGTTTTCAAAACCATTTTTAAAACTATATATTATATGTTTTCAAAAAAATATTTTCAAAAACTATACTATAATCTTCAAAAACTATATACATTGTATATTTAGAAATTGTTATATATATTATCATATACACTAAATAAGCCCTTTGAAGTCTCAAACGAAAATGGGTATCTGTAGTTATCCTTATTTGTCCATTATTGTGTAACGAAAATAGGGCAAAGATAAAAAGACACAAATTTTCGTTTGGTATAAATGGACTTGAAAGCAAGCCTGTTCTTGTGAGGGTTATCGATTCCTGAGTTTAAAATCTGACTCAATGTTGTAGTCGACTCTTTTTATCAAATATCGATCTGAATGTAATCGAACTCGAATGTTTTCGTTAACAAACATTTTTTCTCGACTTAAACTATGTCGTAAATTAGGCTGGGAGATAGTTCATTGTTACTAAATCGCAACCAACCTAGGTCTTCTTATTGACTTAAAAACCTTGGTTTAAATTTCAACCAGAAATTAGCTCATCGCTGCTACCATACGGTTGATATGCCCTCGAACTGAATGGAATCGAACTCGAAAGTTTTCGTTGATAGATAGCTCTTCTCGCTTTGATCTATGTTATGAACGGTTCCTCCAAGTGAAGGATGGCTCCCCTTCATGAGTCTAAACTGGTCATAATTCTTTAGATGACTACCCTTCATGGGAAATTCAGGTGAGATGACTCCCCTTCATGGTTTAAGTTGATCTTGATTCTTTGGATGGCTCTACTTCGTGAGAAAGCCAATCGGTATATTCTTCAGGTGGTTCCCCTTCACTGGTTTAAACCAGGCGATATGATCTTTTGGATAACTCCCCTTCAGGGGAAAGCCATGTGATATGTTCTTCGAGTGACTCCTCTTTACGAGAAAGCCAAGTTAGGTAGTCTGTCAGCTGGATATCATATGTCGTTGAGTTGAAATCTGACTTGAAAACTTTAACTGGAAATTAGCCACTCGCCGTTGAGTTAAGCTAAACTAAATTTGTTATGAATTATCTCTCGAACCCGTAAAACCTGATTTGAAGTTGATTCTAAGATCCATCGATCTTTCTATAGGTCAAGTTGGTTGAGGTGTAGCTCCTCGCCGCTGAGTTAAGCAACCACCATCAATTTTTTTGAAGACGCTTTTGAATCGAGTATCATTGATCGTGAAGTTAAAACTTGACTCTAAGGTTACAAAAAT